CCCCCCTCCCAAAAAAAAAAAAATAATAATAATATTCCGTTCACATTGAACAGACTCTGAAGCTTTTTGGACTTTTCAGTGAGTTGAAAACGTCCATTTGGGGTCTGTTCCAGAGCAGGGATTTGAACCTGGGTCTCCCACACCCCAGCTGGCTAAAGGTTAGTAAGGGCAGGGTGGTGGGGAGGAGAAGGGGCGTGGGGGTGGCCCCTTCTCCTTTGGCCATCTTGTGAAGGGCCAAAATTATTCATTCAAATACGCTCATCGTCTTGTTGGCCGAAACCGCATTGGTCAGCAAACTGTCTGTTTCGAAACATTTCACCGCGCTCTGGCCCACAAGGCAAGGCTTGGAAACGGGCCACGTCCCCGGAAAAGTCTGATCCAGAAGAGTCTCCTGCCAACACGTTCTTGTGTCATAGGGCGAGGGGCAGATGGGAAGCGCGGCGTGACAGACTCAGTGCTGTATCAGAGGTGGGCAAAGCTGGGTACTGCCATTGCACAAAGACCAGCCGACCCAGCCCAAATGACCTTCCCTTGGGTCAAGAGGGAACAAAATGAGAAAAAGGGAGGAAGGATGGCCCAGGGTCAGGGCACTGGCCTGGAACTCCTGAGACGCAGGTTCAGCTTCCTGCTCCACCTCCGACTCCCTGTGCGACTTTGGGCAAGTCACTCAGGGCTTGTCTACACAGGGAACTTAATCCAGATTAAATTCACACCCTGCCTTAAACCAGAAAAAGGCACTCTTATTCCAGAACCATAGTGTCCACATGGGGAGCTGTTCTGGCCAATTTCTCTATGTGGACAAACCCTTTAGTCTCTCTGTGCCTCAGTTTCCCCCGCTGTAAAATGGGAACAATGAAACTTGACCTCCTTTGTCAAGTGCTTCGAGATCTATGGACGACAAGTGCTAGAGAAGAGCTAGGTGTTGTTATCTGTGCAATGGGGATAACAGCACCGCCCTACCTTGCAGGGCTGTCTGAGGATAAAGACAGTAAAAGCCCTGCTGTGCTCAGATACTACGCAACTGAGGGCCAGGGACGTGCAAGAGACAGATCACAGCCTGCACTCGCAATGACTATCCGTAGAGATAAGCAGCCGAGTCCTTGCAGGTTTAAAGGGACAGCCCGCGGAAAACAAAAGCATCATGGATACAAAGGGGATGGCGTCCCCTGGGTCAGCACCCCAATTCATGCACAGCCTGGCCGATAAGCAGCTGGGTCTGAGCCCCACCTTCTCAGGCAGCAGAGAGAAACAGCAGGGCTTGATTTTTTTCTCCCAACATATTAACTCTGGTTAAAGCAGGTTGCTGGGAATAAACCCACTGTGTGCAGAAGGGAAGCCCGACAGACAGCGGCAGATCTGCTCAATGGGCCGTGCGCCCACATAGCCAACCCATTTGAGTCATGGAAAATGAGCTGTCCCGGGAAAGCGACCCCCTGCTAAGAGAATCACCAGGGTACGGCAGGTCACATGCTTAACCTCCAACTGAAACTGTGGCTAGGGGGAAACCTGCTAGCACTTAACATAGGCGGAAACAGCCCAGCTGCACACAGTTCTCCCCCCACTGCGCACCTCCCAACAGGGAGACCTCTGCGGCCGAGTCCTGCGTGACCTCCCATTGCAATCAAGCAGGTCCCAAGCCTCTCGGCTGTTTAATCTAACAACATGGTCGTATTTTGACAGCCTCTGGTAGGGGATATCCCCTCCGGGACCAAAAGGGCCTGCCTGACAAGTGGGGGAAGGGCTGGGCAAACCAAGGAGCTTGCCTGCTTTTCAATTAGCACCAGGGTCCACTGGGAAAAGTGCCCTCCCCCCCACAACAGATGTGTCAGATTCTTATTTTGAGCAGGGTGGTATTTTCTTTTTCCTACAGGCTCCACACACACGCCCCTTTCTCTGCTACTTCAGCGTAACTCAGATGACAATTTCTTCATTGTGTAGAAGCAGGAACAGAGCCAGAGGCTGGCCTCAGAAATCCATCTGTTTGCTTGTTGTGTTTTCCTGGTGACGGGGGAAAATCAACTGGGAGAAGGTGAGTGAAGGCTGCTGTTCCTATAGATTTAGCCTTGTCGGTATCAGCAGCTGTGTTCCAAATTAGAATGTTATGACAGCGAAGTGTCTGTTTCACCCCATAGTTACTTCAGCAATCTGTAACAAACTAGCCTCCCATTTCCAGTGTTTGTTTGTTTGTTTTTGCAAACCCTGGCAGTAACAATTTGCTCTGCTGAGTAGAAACTGAAATGCAGCCTGTGCCATTATATAATTTTAAATTAGGATCGACTCTCCTTATTTTGCTCAGCGCAAGGCTGGTTTTCTGGCCCATAGATGCGTCAATAGTGCCATAAACTGTCTGGTAAAGGACTTGTTTATTTGCTATCACGCCTGTGTGTATTTGGTCTTTACTGATGCATACCTTTGCTTGTGTTCTGCTGGCTCCGGGTTTCTAAAGATGACCTTTTCTTGCATAATATTAATAATTAGCATGGGCTGTCAGCGTTAGTTCTGGATCAAAATCCAAAACGCAGAAGACTATTCGGGTCAGTTCTTTTCTCCTGATCTATGTCCCCCGACAAGTGCAAAGTAACAGAATAGATGGATTCCCAGGGACAGTGGTTCTGCAACTACAGGTGCAAGGGGTGCTGCTGCACCCTCTGTCTTGAAGTAGTAATAAACACCAAATACATGGTTTCCATCACCAGCACCCCCACTATAGAAATTGTTCCAGCACCCCTGCCCAGGGACCTTTTTTTCTGAAAGACGTATTCTGAACCTCTCCCCTTTCATTGCCAAAGACAACTACCTTTTTGAAGTCTTTTGCTCAGATTCCCACAGTGATGCCGAGCATGATCAGTATGATCTTTTACTGCCAGGAAGAACAGCCCATGTGTGTTCCTGCAGATTAATGAGATTGGGTTTAAAGTTATAAATGGATCCAAAAAGAAAGGGTTGGTCCACTGAGAGGCTAGACAGGCACATCTCAATCTGCCCCTGAGGGTGAGAAGCATGTTGAGGACTGGGGGACACTCAGCCCTGATACGACTTGCCCATAGTCCTGTAAAGACTGTGCGACTGTCTTTAAAAAGGGAGGGGGTATGTAATGGCTAGGATAGGTGATTGAGACTCGGCATTCCTTGGTTCTGTGCCTGGATCTGGAAGGGAATCACTGTATGACCTAGACAAGTCAATAAACCCCTCTGTGCCTCAGTTTACCCCTTTATGAAATGGGGGAGAATAATCCCTTTCTGCCTTCCAGGAGTGCAGGGAGGTTTAAATAATGTTAGTAAGGCACTTTGAAATATTATGATGAAAAAATGCTCACTACAGATGTTTATTTAAAATATAAATATATGGTGAGAGATAAGCTGAAGAGAGAAGAAAATGGGGGTCCCACGACAAACTGCCTGTTTTTCCCTACTGAGAGGAGCATGCAGCAGAGAGATAATAGCTCCATTGAGAGGTCTAGCAGCATACGTGTAGGAGAGATTGTGCGCTCTGTGAGCTGTGGCATTTGGACAAGCACTGAGAAAAGTGACTTCAGTCCTGTCTTCTAAGGATGGTTTCAATGCAGCCACGTTAGGTAAATAATGAAATTGCAGCAGCCAGTGCAATGACAGGGAGTGGGGATGGGGGGTAGCCACTTTGCCAAAAAGACCTCCAGGCAATTAGAGTAAGGCAAAGACCTGGAAGATCTTGGTCAATATGGAAATAACCAATGTCCTTTGTAAATGATGCTCACTTATTGCTTTTTAGTCACAAAACGCCAGGACCAGCCACCCCAAGTCCAGTTAAATCCAGTAAGGAGGGATGTGGGCTCATGCTTTTGGGTTCTCTGCCTTGCCTCATATCGGGGGAATTCTCGGCTGGCTCTTGACACGGAAGGAAGTGCCTACTTGGTTCGAAAGCCTGAAGAAACCCTCTTGGCGTCCACCCAACAAAATGTTCCCCGTCGTGTGGACTACCCTGTACACAGGCATGGGGTAAGGTTCCGTGTACTACCCCTTCTCTGTTTCTGTAGGTCTTTATCTCTAGGGGAGACTTCACTCTCCTCCACTGCTCAGTTTGGAGCTTTCCTTCTCAAGGACCAAGTGGGCAGGAAAGGGACGTTTATATTCAGAAGATGAACATAACACCCCACTGGATACTGAGCTGAGTTCATCAGCTCCACCTGGAACTTTTTTTTTTGCCGGGGACTTTGTCTACACTGGGTTTATTTTGCACTGAGGCTCACGATGACAACTGTAGAACTTTGAGAACCCAGCTAAGATCAGGGGCCCATTGTGCTAGGCACTGTATCCATAGCCAGAGACATTCCCTGCCAGATGAACTTACTGCCTAAATAGACAAGAGAGATCATGAGTTTGATGTGATGGCAGGCCACAGATGTAAGTGCACCAATGCTGCGCTGGTGCAAACCCACTACCGCAAGTCACTTTTGCACCAGTGCGGTATGTTTAGACTAGGAGCTGCATCAGTGTAGCTACATCGGTGCAAACCCCACCCTCAAAACCCAGTGTAGACAAGTCATAAGAGCTGCCTTTGGCTAGGGTGGGATCTGCCCTTGGAGCTGTGTTCCAATAATAAGAATTATATGGAGCAAAAACCGGTGCCTCCTGGTAGAATAGTGCCTGATCCCACAGCATCTTGGAGAGAAGCCAGGTGGGACAGCAAAATGTTAATTGTGATTTTCCTCTTCACAGCTACGCTTCATATTTGGTGTGGAATGACTTAGGGGGCTTCAACAGCAAAGCTGTCATCCCGCTGGGCCTCTACGGGGCTCAGCTTGCCTTGAACTGGGCTTGGACTCCCCTATTCTTTGGCGCTCATAAGCTAAAACTGGTAACGTGTCTGTGCATATTTGTCTTGTGTTGTCTGTGTCTCTGCGCCACCAGTTTGGCGCCTTTCGGCGGGTCTACAGTGAGCACCAGGTAGTGCTGTACCCTGTGTCAACTGTAAAGGCATATTAGCAGAGCTCAGTGTCTGCTCACACCACACTTGATTCTAACCAGTGTTATCAGTCCCTCGCATTCCTGACCGAAAAGCGGGGCGGTTAGGGAGCCAGTGTTCTGGCTGCTGCATCTTTCCGTTAAGAAGTTACGTCGAGAGATAAGCCTCCTTGAGTGTCACACCCTGGTCCAACCAGAGGCAGGGCCATGAACTTTAAGGGGCCACACTATTTGTGGATGGCTTATCAGGCTATAAAATACCCTGTCAACAGGAGAGCCCATAACAGTCCTACTCTCGTTGGACTGCCTTCGATAAGAGTTACTCTTACAATGCATAGGGAGAATACGATCCCAGCAGTAGATGCCTCAATCATTTCGCTCTCTCTTCTTCAGGCTCTGGTGGACATCTTGTGCCTATATGGCCTGGTGCTTGGCACCATGTACTCTTGGTACCCCATTAACAAGATGGCAACAATGCTGATGGTGCCTTATCTGGCCTGGCTGACCTTGGCTTCTTCTCTCACCTTCTGCATCTGGAGGGACAATCCTGAGGAGGAAAAAGGAAAGAGTGACTAAGACAAAAAGAGGAGCTGGTGAAATAAGGTCATTCTATGAAACCAACCCATCCTGATGTGATGTGGTGAACCAAGAGCTGATAGCCCGGGGGTAGTTAATTTTATTAAGATGGACACCTGAACATACATATTATTTGCATAGGGCGGATGGGGAAAATTTTGCACAATGCAATGGGATGTCCCTTTAAGGCTACCATATACCTTTAACCTGAGAACCCCTGCCTCTCTCTTTCTCCAACAATGCTGGGGTTTTGGGGTTACAGCTGTATGGTGGTCTTATAGGGACACTAACAGGTTAAATCTCATACGCCAATTTCTGCTCTGTTATGCCACTATAAATTCAAAGTCACTCCACTGAAGACAATGGAGTTATTCTGGATTTATATCAGTGCAACTGAGATCAGAATTTGCTCGCATACATTAAAAAAAATTCTCACCTGTGTGACAAAAAACACCTGAGATGATTAAAACAGGACGATTTTTACAAACCTAATGGCTTTTTGCCTTTTCTGCTGTTTAATTTTTGCATAAGACTCAGTTTGGACTTTTTACCATTAGCCATTAACTTCTCACCATCTAGGTTGCTTGCTCATTACTTGCCATTCTCTCTGCCTGCGAAATGAAAATGGTCAGATTCATTTTCTGCTTTTAGTCTATTGTGCTTCTTGGTTCTCATGCCCCTGTGCAATGCTGCAATGACTGGAGTGCAAATAACTGTACTGAAGGGAAATCTTTATCTGTCCCACCTCTAAAATACCCCTCCCCACAAACCCTCCCCCCCGCATTCACTGAAATAAAACATCCCCCAAAACATGTACTGACACATTTATAATATGCTTTGTAAAACCTTCAAACCAACCCCTCTAAATGTTGTGCCTTAAACTACCAGACAACAGCTGGGATTTTCAAAGGTGCACAAGGGAGTTAGATGCCTAAATTCCATTGAAATTCAGTGGGAATTGGGCACTTGACTTAGGGTGACCAGATGTCCCGATTTTATAGGGACACTCCTGATTTTTGGGTCTTTTTTCTTATATAGGCTCCTATTACCTCCTTACCCCGTCCCGATTTTTCACACTTGCTGTCTGGTCACCCTAACCTGACTCCTTTAAAATCCCAGGCAATATCACTTTACCCAATACCACTTTGGCATTTTCCAGGTTAGTGGAAGCGGTGCCTGATTCATGTAAAAAACAGGCCCATAAGGACTGCTCATGTGAGAGAGTGCTTGCAGGCCGGGGCCCGTAATGCTGAGGAGGTTGTGCCTCCTTAGACTCACCAAGAGGGTCCTGGACAAATCGACTGTCTAAAGTGCTTACCAGACCCCCATTACCATAGCATGTGAGCCCCGCGCACTTTTTATGCTCACAAACTCCCTGTGAAGTAGGACAATGCTATTATCCCTATTGTACAGACAAGGAGACTGAGGCACAGAGAGACTTAGGCCAGGTCTACACTAGAAAGTTTTGATGGTAAAGCAATCTGAGTTAGGGGTGTGATTTTTCTTTTTTTAAACAACATTTCTATATTGGCAAAAGCCCTAATGTGGATGTAGTTATCCCAACAAAAAAGCTTTTGCTGATTGACGTTTTTTGCTTTGGGAATCAAGCTATACCAACAAAAGCATTCCTTCGCAAGTATAAACAGCATCTACACTACAAGAATTTGGCAGGATAGCAATACTAGTGAGTGGTTTCTAGTGCAGACTAGGCCAAAGTGATGTGCCCAAGGTCACAAAAGCAGTCGGTGGCAGAGCAAAGACAATTCTAACCTCCTGGGCCAATGCTCTAACCACTGGACAATTCTTCCTCTCCAGAAGATAAGAAATTCAAAATGTTCAGGCTTCAACCTCCATCTGGCCAGGGCCGGGCTCTAGGATTTTGGCCGCCCCAAGCAAAAAAATTATTTTTGGCCACCCCCCTTTTTTTCATGCCCCTCCCGCCCCTGGCCTCGCCCCAGCTCTGCCCCTTCCAAACCCGTTCCCCAAATCCCTGGCCCCGCCTCCTCCCCCGGGGGTGCTGCATTTCCCCCCCGCATTGCTTCCTGTGCTCCCCCCCCCCGACCTCCCACCCTAGCTCACCTCCACTCTGCCTGCTCCCCTGGGCGCGCTACTGCTCTCAGGCGAGGGAGGGGGGAGAAGCAGAGCAGCAGTGCATTCATGGGAGCAGGCGGAGCGGAGGTGAGCTGGGGGGGGCCGCAGGAAGTAACAGGGGGGTAGAGGAACCGCTCCCCGCTCCAGCTCACCTCCGCTCCACCACCGCCTCCCCCGAGCGCCCGCCGCTCGGCTTCTCCTCCCTCCCTCCCAGCCTTGCTGCGCGAAACGGAGAAGCAGTGCGGCGGCGGTGCACTCAGGGGAGCAGGCGGAGGCGAGCTGGGGCAGTAGGGGCACTTTTTCCCCATGCCCGGAGTCAGTGCCTAGGATGGCCGGCGCCAGAATGCTGCCCCTAGAAATGTGCCGCCCCAAGCACCTACTTATTTTGTTGGTGCCTACAGCCGGCCCTGCATCTGGCCCTGATTCAGGACTTCAACGGGACTTCAGCATGTGCTTAAAGCTAAGCAGGTACTTAACAAGTTACTGAATAAGGATGTTTTCCTGAATGCTGCCACACTGTCTCCTTTCACACATTATGGTGAATTATGGACGTAGCCTATATTTGTTTTAATCCAAGGAAGAGGGGAGGTAAGGGGTTGCTTTGTTTTTTAAAGGGGGCAAAATAGGCAGGGAAGATGACAATGTACTTAATATTCCAGAGCAATGATACACAGTAATTGGTGCATCTCAGAGTGTGTCTACACTGCAATTCGACACCCCAAGCTGGCCTGTGCCAGCTGACTCAGCCTCGCAGAGCTCGGACTAAGGGGCTGTTTAACTGCGGTGTAGACATTTGGCCATGGGCTAGAGCCTGGGCTCTAGGACCCAGCGAGGTGCGAAGGGGGAATGAACCACACTGCAATTAAACAGCCCCTTGGCCTAAGCCCTGTGAGCCCAAATCAGCTGGCACGGGCCAGCCGTGGGGGTCCAATTGCAGTGTAGACACACCCGTAGAGCATAGGGTTGCCTATTTTGGTTGGATGTATTCCTGGAGGTTTCATCACATGACATAATCTTTAACTGAAGATTAATCTTTAATTCCTGGAGAACCCAGAACAATCCTGGAGGGCTGGCAACCCTATGAGAGGAAGGTCCATTCCAACCTCCCCCATTCTGATCCTTCCTTCTGCTGTCTAGGCATTAGATATTCCCTGTTTAGAGAGAGGATTTACTATTTTTTTATTAAATAAAAACAATGTATGTATCTCTTTAATGGATCTTTTTACTGGCAGCTAATTGTAGAGGTGAAGGGCGTTATTTTGGGTAGTGTAGTCTGAACTGCGGATGTAGAGACATTGCATTTGCTTTTAATAAAACCAAGATTTTTTGTTTGCAAAAAGAAATCCGTTGTTTGTGGTTCTGGGTTTGCGGAAAGGCTGGGAAAGGTTCCAGGGACCCTGGCTAGAGCCTGCGGCTTTTGCATGGAACTCAGATGGAAGGGGAAACGGCATTAGGCACTAGTTCTGTGAAAGGCTCCAAGGAACCCACTGAACCTCATGGAAAAAAGCTTCTCAATGCGCAGGTTAGAGCAGTGGATGGACTTGATACAGTTCTCGATTTTCAAGCCAGAAGGGCCTATTCGGATCATCTAGTCCAGTGGTTCTCAACCAGGGGTACGCAGAAGTCTTCCAGGGGGTACATCAACTCATCTAGATATTTGCAGGGCCGGCTCCAGGCACCAGCTTGGCAAGCAGGTGCTTGGGGTGGCCACTCCAGAGAGAGGCGGCAAGTCCAGCTCTTCGGCGGCTATTCGGTGGACGGTTCCTCACTCCCCCTCGGAGCGAAGGACCTTCTGCCGAATTGCCGCTGCAGATCGCGATCGCAGCTTTTTTTTTTGGCTGCTTGGGGCGGCCAAAACCCTGGAGCCGGCCCTGGATATTTGCCTTGTTTTACAACAGGTTACATAAAAAGCACTAGCAAAGTCAGTACAAACTAAAATTTCATACAGACAATGACTTGTTTATACTGCACTGAAACGTAAGTACAATATTTGTATTCAACCTGATTTGTTTTATAATTATATGGTAAAAATGAAAAAGTCAGCAATTTTTCAGTAATAATGGCTGTGGCACTTATTTTTATGTCTGATTTTGTAAGCAAGTAGTTTTTAAGTGAGGTGAAACTTGGGGGTACACAAGACAAATCAGAGTCCTAAAAAGGGGTACTGTAGTCTGGAAAGGTTGAGAGCCACTGATGTAGTCTGACCTCCTGCATAACACAGGCCAGAGAATTCCATTCAGTGAATCCTGCATCGAGACCAACATTGGGTTTCTTGGTGACTATTTTTTTTCATAGCTTTACTGTAATCTAGCAAGTCAGTTCCTTCTGGGGCAAAACCTCCGGGAGCAGATGTTTTATGGAGCTAGCACACAGAGAGCAAATGAAACTGCTTACCCCCTGCTCAAACTGATATGGTAATCTTGCCTTCCACAGGGAGGGAAAGAGGTGATATGCCAATAGGATGGGGCCAGATGGCTGGCCGTGAGATGCTTATGGAGGAGGCCACACCTCAAATACTGCAGGGACTGTCTTTTCCTCCCTGGGAGACACTGGGATGAGTTTCTACGCCTTTAATTCACTATGGCCCAAAGTTTCCAAAGGGCCCTCTAATTTTGGGCACCTCTGGGCCTGATTTTCAGAGGTACTGAGCTCCCACAACACCAACTAAAGTGAGTGGGAGCTGCAGGTGTTCAGCACCTCTGAAAGCCAGGCCCACAGTGAAATTAGCATCTACAAATCAAGGCACCTGAAATCAGTGGCAATTTTTGAAAATCTGGCCCTGTACTTTGTTTCCTCACCTTGATCCAACCTTGCCATCCCTCCTTTCCACTGGTGAAAGGTATTAAATGACACAGCAGCACTCTGCCATAAGGGTAAAGCTTGCTGGGCAGAAGAAAGAGCTTTCTTGAGGACTGTAACCAGGTGGCTCGCTCTTGAAGGGCTGGAAGGCTGGGGCTAGCCACCCCTGATTACAGAGTGAGCCACACCTGGGTGACTGTCCTATAAAGAGTAGCAAAAGGCTGCAACGAAGGGGGCAATCTCAGGGATTAGAAATTGCTAGGCGTGAGCATCAGAACTGAGATGCCAGCCAGGGAGAGCCTGGAAGTGGCCTGCCAAAGCAGGAAAGACCCCAGGCAGGAAGGCCTAGGAAGAGGAATCATAAGAAACTTTTGTTAGTATGGACTTTGAAACTTTATTTTAATGTTTGTTAATTTAATAAAGCACAACCCGAGAAGGGATGGAAATGGACAAAAGTGGTTTTCAGTTTCTTGAACAGTCTAAGAGGGAAAACTGAGGTAGGATGTTTGTAGAAGGATCCTAGGCCAGAAGAGGACACATGAGAGACAGCTGGGCTCACTAGAGGGACCAACCCAAGACTGAGGGCTACTCTGGTGAAGACGCTCTATGCTGTTGGGAGAGAGCTCTCCCGTCAGCATAATTACTCCACCTCTGTGAGAGGCAGAAGCTATATCAGCGAGAGAGGGTCTCCCACCAACATAGCACTGGTCTGGACAGCGCTTAGGCTGGCGTCGCTCATAGGGGTGGCTTTTTCACGCCCCTGAGCGACATAAGTTATATTGACATAGTGTAGACCTGCCCTGTGGAATGAACTCCCATAGGAACTAAGGACCAAGACAAACCCTGTCAGCTTCTCCTCCAAGTGCAAGGAGCACTTCTTTGACCTTGACTTCTCTAAACACAGAGTAACACGTGTGTATGTGTATTTTATATATATAAAAAATTCTCCATCCATTGCACACACTTCTTCCCCTGGGAGAGGACAAAAGAACATGAGAGATGGTAGTCGCACTGTTCAGTGCCCTGCTAGACGATGCTCACGTACACAATGATGATTGCGATATAAAACCTATACATAGGCTTGACCGAACATTTATTTTATTGTTTTATAATTTTTATGGGATAATATCAATGTTTATTTCAAAGCATTTTTTTTCCAATTTTTATCAATTTACATTTTCACAGCTGAACAAATGTCTGGATTTTAAGCATTTTTAAAATGTTTATGAATTTCAATTTTCACAGTTGGGGGAAATTATTGGGGAAGTCAGAAAATGGGGGGTGGTCAGACAATAATTATTTAATGGCTGTATACAAGATTCAGAAAGTTAAAGCTTTATAGCCATTAAAACACAAATTGTCACCGTCACATGTCAATACGTACAAATATCCTTAAACTAATAAGATCTCAAGCAGCATTTTTCTTACTCTGTTGATCTGTAAATTTCAATGATTATTGATGGCAATTTTTTCATTGGTTTGTGTATGTATAGTGAAATTGGTGTTAACCAATAAAAAATTAATCCTTCCAAGCCTGCAATGGAATAGACATCCCTGGAGATTGAAGTGCTCTATCTGTGCATCTGTAGAAAGGATCAAATTCTGCTCTCAGCTACATGGGTGCAACTTCTTTGAAACTACAGGGAGTTGCATCTTCCTACCTGAGAGCAGAACATGGTCCAACAAGTACAGCATTGACAACACCAGTGCTATCTATCTATCTATCTATCTATCTATCTATCTATCTATCTATCTATCTATCTAAGGTTTTTATATAATGCCTAGATAACATGGTGATAGGCACAATATCAAAATGACAATAGATAAGATTAGATTCAAATCTTGGCTTCTCTCCTGAGACTCTCAACCAGGGAGACAATTACCACCAGTTGTCTGATGTGGAGACAAAGAAATGCACTGGGACCAGCTTCTTGCACAAAGCTAAAAGGTTTTATAGGGGGAAACACTTCCTCCTCTTTCCTCCCAATCTCTCTACCTATCCCTACCTTTCGACTATATCTATGGCAAGGACCCCTCGGAAATCGTTGCAGTATGAGACATGGTCCCACAGAGGGGAGGGAACAGAGGCTGATGGGCCAAGGGGGCTGAGAGAAGGAAAGCTGGCTCTGCACATCACTGTCGGTGGGGGGGTTATTTATTTATCGGGTAACAGTAGTTACAGCTGGAAAAATAGGAGGAGGATCACTGCCAAACAATGTATCCAGGGAGATGTTTTGTTACTGCCATCAGCTGTCACCTTGGAATAAAGAGCACGTCCCAGCTATGACTAATACAGCCAGTGTCTTATTTCACTCTTGGATCTGGCCAAAAAATGTTTCTCTGGCCTAGGAATACAATGAACTCCCTAGCAAGATTCTTCTTTGTAGCTAGGTCTCTTCTACTCCATTCCCAGACTCCTGAATCCCCCTTCAAAATGCTGGATAATGTTATGATCAGATTAAAAATAGATTTGTAATTATGCAACTAAAATTCTAGCAACTAAATCTCATGCTTCAGGGCATAAGCTGATCCCTGGCTTGAAGTCAGGAAGGAAGTTGCGTGGCATTGCACAACTGGCCAGCTGCATTGTGTGTGTGGAGGGGGAAGCTGTTTACCTCTTAAACATCAGATGTTGGCCACCGCCAGAAATAGGATACTGGAGTTAGGGACCAATGGTCTGATCTGACATATGGCTCCTTTGCTCTCTCGCATTTCTTGCAAATATGACACAAAACCCTTAGCACCTGACTCCTATTAATGCAAATGGATAACCCTCTGCTCACTGATAGGTGAATTGGCCCTTTGCGAGTATCCCTCTGGAATGGAGGCTTCAGCATTGGTAGCTGATGCCCCCTGTGTGCTCATCACAGGATAAAAGCCACGTGCACACATTTTAACCTCAGAAAATAAATGTTCACGATTAGAAGGCTACTGACAAAGGATCTGAATGGGAGAAAAGTCAAAGGGTTTGGGTGTGTTTTATTATATTTTTCCCCACATGAGATATTAATACACCGGAAAAAAAGACAAAGAATTTTGTTTGTCACAGATGAATTTAAGGGACTGATCCTGCTCCCATTGAAGTTAATGGTAAAGCTCTAAAAGTCTGAGACAAAACCCACAAAAGCTAAAAGGATCAAATCTCTAATTGCTATCCAGAACTGGATGTCACCTTAGTGTCCCCTCTTCCAGCAACCATTCCCTGTCCTGGCCTCTACTCCCCACAGCTCTGCCTGTGTGCCTCCTCCTTGACCTGCAGTGTTCCCTGTTACTCCAGACTGTAATGACAATAACTGCACATCCGGCACCTCTGCTGGACCCAGGCCCAAGTCTCCCTCTCTTGACTAGCTGAAGGAAAAATAAATTGCTGTGCAGAGCACGACATTACTATGTGCAGTCACTAGGCACACACCCATACACACGTACACACACATGCTTTTGGGGAGCTATCCATTGGTCAAAAAAGCCTGGACCAGACCGATGGATGCTTTCCCCCCTACAGTTCTAATGCAAATGTCAGACTGACAGCATCTCTCTGGCATTCCTTTACATATTTGGCCCAAGCACAGACTGGTGGGGGTTGTGACTACTTAGTGCACTGCCCTAGATGGAACTGCGCAGCAGCTGGGGAAAGGCTGGATGGAACCAGACTCTCAGCAGCACATTCCGGAGATTAGATGAGAGCTCGCATTGATCTTTGCAGTTTGGCTGGGCCAGTGAAAGCTAACGGCTGCAAGAGTAGTGGCACCATGAGTAATCTAGCTGTTGAGAGCTTCCAGAAATAGAGACAGTGGGTCGGGGATACAAGAGAAGATGGGATTATTTGTTTTAGAGGGTGGGAGGAGAAAAGGAAAGAGCAGTCACTCATCAGCTGAGGATTCCCATCCCCAAAATCACTCCCCAAAATGTCAAAGGTGAGAATGACTGGACAAGGGATCTGGAATTTGAACATAGTTACCAGTCAAGAGGAAAAACAATACTCTATCCTCTAGCCAAGGAAAGTATTCCAAGCTTTAAAAGCATAGGAAAAATTATATATATCCCTTGGACAGACTGTCACAGAACTTCTCAAATCCCTTACTGTCCTGTTGTCACAATACAATCCACCCCAGAAGTGTTAGTCATCAAATAAACAACTACTACTCACCAGGTTTCAGCAAACAGTGTTGGTGCAGCAGGGTGGTTGCTGTTTTCTGGCCCAGAAGTAGCTGCATTTCAGTGGTGCAGCATGGGGGGAGTTGGGAAGACCCTTGGGATTCTTTGAGATGCTATAGAAAGGAAAGATCATTGTTAGTAAAGGGACAAAAACTGAACAATGTGCAATAAGAAAAAATAACTGTACAACTGAACAAGTGTGAATGGTCCAAATCCGTCATGATGCGGGGCACTATCAAATTATAGAGGCGCTGAATGCAACACCGTAGTTAAAGCTGAATTAAGTTTTGCACTGAAAACAGAAATTCAGACTCTTTGATATATATGAAGAATATAATGTATCCTCCCCAAATTTACAGTACTTACTCCTTGAATACAGAGCTAATATTTAATAGCTTGGTTGACTGAATCTCAGTCATCATGGGTTCTACCTTTAGCACAGCAGTCAAGATGCTGGAGGTTTGATTTCCAATTGGCTTTGGAGGAGTAAAATGTGAATTCAGAGCAGCTACATGCTTCTTATTTATTTGTAACCTAGAGGCACGGCAGGAAACTCCATTAAGTTAGAAGCACCTAGGATTTGCATCAATTTTCCCTTTAAATTCAGAATGAGATGTTTTTGTGAAATTTGGATACATTTCATGCCATCCTCAACAAAAAAAAAAAAAACCTTTCTAGAGGTCATAAGAAACCCAAACAAGCCCTGGGTTCCCCACTTTTGCAGAGCAATACGCACATCCCAAACTTTTATCAATAAAAACTTTATAGACCCCCTAATGCTATTCTATATGGTCTTTTTAGGATAGCTGGATTCCATGCTAACTTGGTTCAGGCAAAATACAGTAAACACCACCTCAGAACTTCTCTTGAACAATCCCGTACTCTACCTCCCACACACTGCACATGTCAGTCCTAGACCCCACTTCCCAATCCCACTGCTGCTTACTCCTGATCCTCGTACTGTACAACCTCCTGGGCCCACACACAAACTCCAACCTGATCCTCAACCCCACCATAGGCTCCCACTTCCAGTCTCTAGACTGCCTTCCACCTGATGCAATTACTGATCCAGTGTTTGCACCCAAGGCGACCGCAAAGGTGGTGTAAACAAACCAAGGAATAACTGAGAAGCAGGAGTCTTTTAATTATTATTTATCATTTGTTTGCAGTGTGATTTCCACGCATCCAAGAAGGAATGGTCCTTGCCCCAAGTTGTTTACAGTCTAAGGAGAGAGAAATGTAGGGAACAAGGACCAGATCCCTGAGCTGGTGTAATCTGGCACAGTCCCACACCCCAAATATTTCCTTGCTGTGTAACTGTACACGGCTGATTTTAATACAGCTGGGATGAAATTCTGGATCCTTTGACATCGGTGGGGATTGTGCCGTTGGTTTTGATGGGACTAGGATTTCGCTCCTGTTGGATTCCCGTCTTTCAGTGCCCGCTCCACAGAAGTATGGTTTGCAAAGGGTGTAATTTTCAGTTTCTTGTGAGGGCTCCAGCTGTAATGTCTGCAGGGGGCCTCATTGAAGCATGGCTCAGCCCCATCCATTATCCAGGGTGATTGTTAAATAAAACAAATCGGGGACACTTCCTGCTCCTTCCTGCCCACTCTAGAAGCGTGTTTTCTCAAGGGCAGGATGATAGAATGTGGGCAAATCAGGGCAGGCGGGGAAGTGGCCAGTCCTGCAGCCTGCCAGGTTTCTGTCCTGCCTGGGGATAAATAGGTGACTTCTGCTTCCTGGGTTTTCCATCCATGCCCTAACCCGCCCACAGTGAATTCCTCACTTTGTTTTAAAGGCAAAAGGGGAGTGAGAGAGATTGATAAAAGGCCTTCGCAAAAGTGAGGGAGGGTGATGATATCTGAGAGTTGTCGGATCCTTCTACCACCCCATCCAGTCAGTGTCACTGCAGCGTTGTTCCATATTTAGCTCCCGACAACTGCGTCTAGGACTGGAACTCCCAACTCCCTTTTTTCTCTCTCTTTCCCGTCTCTTCTCCCTGCACTGGTCTCAAAATATTGCTCCCTCTCTTTCCTTGTGGTCTGAACCCGGTGCACCAGCACCCAAGAGGATGGCTGAAAACCAGGAGGAGCCCAGCGACACCCAGACCGGTGAGGAGCAGCCTGAAAATGCAGAGGAGTCTGAGGAGAAGAAGAAGGAGCTGGAGAAACTGCCGCCCTTTGAAATCGTGGGAGGGTAAGAGAGATCAGTGCACAGAGTTTAGTTTTAAAGAGGCAGCGAGTAAAGAAAGCCAGGATGACTCATTTCCACTTAGCTTCTCACACAGTCTGTCCAGGGTGAGGTCTCTGCCAGAAGTTTTAATGTTGGTTAAATAAGGATGAAATCTGGGGCCAGTGCAAGTCTGGAAAGGGATTTTTTGAACTTTGTTTATATTGTGCAGGTTGCAATTCTTCCTACAGCTGAACTTGTAGCTAGGGTGAAGTTGCTTGGTGAAGAGAGTTTCGCTGCCTAGGTGTAGGATGGATTCAAATCAGCTTGTAACTCACTGGATCCATTTATGGGCCTGATTCTACCAATTCTCTCTTGCCAATGCTGACAAGTCACTTAACATGCAAGTAGTCCCACTGGTTTCAGAGGGATCACTTGTCAAGTAAGGTACTACTTGGTGTAAGGGTGGAAGAACTGGGCCCTTGAAGAATACTGAAATATTGATTTCTTGAAGGGGTCTTGTTTGCAAGTTCCTCTGTTGCTGGGTTAGGAAAAATACCAGCCCCAGTGCTAATGGTGTGGGTAGAGAAGGGCAAGCAAAGGAGACTATTTACTTCAGCAGAGTAGCATGGTTGTTACGGAGGCCCAGTCAGAGGTGCTGGATTGCCCTTCTTGGGGACTATCCTCTGTCCATTAGTATCCCCAGGAGTGGTAGATTCTGGACAACAGTGGTGAGAGCTTCCCCAACACCCACCCTCCCCAAACAATCTTCAAGGGCTCCACATTATTGTCAGAAAGGCCAAAATATGCACAAAGTTATCCAGGGTTAAGCAGTGGAACAGTCACAGATTGGAGAGCCTTCATCCTTTATATAAATTATAAATCACAGCAAAATACTGGCCCGGCAGCCAAATTTTACTTTTTAGACTCTTAAAATCCACCGAGCCCCATGACTCCCGGAAGGTTGTTTGTTTTTTAAATAGGGACCCAGAATACCCACGTTTTCCCCCCCGATAATGGGACTCTAGAATCAGCCCTGAAAAATACTCACTGCTGTGTTGTGCCCGCGCTACGGATCATACGGGCTAGATTTTCACATGAGCTCAGGGGTCAGATTTTCTAGGGCTCAGCACCCACCCCTGGGGCCAGACTGTCAAACAAGCCCAGCCCACATTTAGCTACCAGATCATCAGTCAGTTTTCAAAAGTACTCAGCACAGTGCTTAATTTGTAATGAAAGAGGTGCCGGGACTCAAGCCATTTTTTTACATTCATAACTGATGCAGCAAGCCCAGAGGTGGCAGGATTATGAACTGCCCAGCCTGGCACAAATTAAAGCACTGACTCAGAAACACCCACTGGGACACTGAGGGCCAGATTTTCCGAACAGCTCAGCATGTTGGACGTGGCGGTCTTTTAGAAATCTGGCCACTTATTTAGGAGTCTAAATGGGTGATGAGCTCTATGGGAAATCTGGCTCACGTTCTGAGTGTTGAGCCCTTCTGAAAAGCACAGTCTACAAGAGGATCCTTATAAGATCCCAATACAATAAACCATACAGCTAATACAAGCATGGAATGATGATTAATCAATGGACAAATGATTATACATTAATAATATATGAGGGAAAGGCGTGGCTAGGAAAATCTGTCTGTCTAATCTACCATCCCTAAGCATTTCTAATATGCCAGTCACTGTACTATCTAGATGTAACCATACATAATTTAAAGTGTGGCTTAACCAGAAACATGCCATTATAAAAATGTTATGGTCAAGCTCTGTATTTATTGTCTCCCAAAGTTGCCAAGTCTATGTGCTCAATTAATAAACTAAACTGTGATTATTTTCCAGCAGCCTTTAACACAGACTTCAATCCAGGAACTGAAAATCTAGCTGTGGCCTTTCTGCCTGTTACATCATCACTAATCAGAAAGATTCTACAATCAGAACTCAGCTGGCAATTCTGATGATGATGCATAAGGCAGGATATACTCCAGCTCTCTCCCCCCAGCTGTATTGCCTCCACATAGGGCTAAAGCAAGTGAAAGCATTTGGTCCAAAAAATCAGCAGATGTGATTCAAAGATACACAGCGAACAAACACGTTGAGTAACAAGATGCCATTTTGACTTGTCACTTTGCTGCCTATAATGGATATTCTGATAAAAATAATTACATTAAATTGTTCCATCCCCAAATTCTAATACTTGTTTTTCTCTCTGGATTTCACCTGAGAATAATTTTGTTTTCTGTTCTCACAATCTCTTTTAAAAGCCTTCTGTCATTTTTGATTTTTAAAAATAGTGCGCCACATCTGGGACCCGATTCTCCACTGTCTTGCCCTTGGTAGGATTTTCAAGTCAATACCATTGTCTTCAATGAAAGCAGAGTTGGGCCAATGTGAAGTGTTTCTGAAAATCCTACCCAGGGTCATGGTATTCACCTGCACAAAGTGAATGCTGAGTAGGCGTACAATGCTACCATTCGATTTACACCCATTTTGCACTGGTGAACTTATTGTGCAAAGTGTGTGGCAAGGCAGAATCTGGCCCTGTGGCCTCAACAACACTTTTTTATTTCTGTGATGTTGCATGGCTGTTACAGAGGCACAGTCAGAGGTGCTGGATTTAGGTTTACCAACTCTGACTGAAGCTATTCTGGGAGATTCCCTCCTCCTCCCCCCACAACATGATATAATGTCATTTTCTTAAAATATCTTACTAAAATCTCCTGGATTGCTTTCAATAGTCACCGGGAGATGGATGAGGATTCCGGGAGACTCCAGGCCAATCCTGCAGGGTTGGCAACCCTAGCCGGATTGCCCTTCTTGGGGACTATCCTCTGTCCATTACTATCCACAGGAGGGGTAAACTTTGGACAAGAATGGTGAAAGTTTCCCCAACACCCCTCCACCAGTGGGTCTCATCTCTGTTCTGGAGACCA